GATCTGCCAATTCTTGGTGGGGGCTAAAGCAGGGAAAGGAGAAGAAAGAAGAGGATGGGGTGGGAAGAAGGACTGGCTGTGCAGGAGTGAGCACAATGTAGGGGAACTGGATGTCTCTTTTAGTGCCTTGCACGGAAGGAGAGCAATGAAGGTGAAAAGGCTTGGGGCCTGGCTGCCCTCCACAACTCCCCCTGCTGTGCTCATTCATTCCAGCAAATGCCTGCCTGGAGAAACATGTCTGTTATTGAAACCCATCTCAGCATTTTAGTGAAACGCTCCTAGGGGCCTCCTAATTAAAGCTAGAGCGACTCACTTCATAATTATGTGGTGCACATTTCCTCTGATGAGCAGGGGTAGGGTTGCCTTTCCTGCTGATGAAAAAGCAGGCCCGGGTCTATCTGTCTATGTTAATAGGGTACATCTGTGGAAAACTGCAGTGGTTGAGCTTCTTTGCGAATCCCACCCCTGCCGCTCCCAAAAGAAAAAGGCCCATCAAAATGCGCACACTTGATGCATAATGACTGACAGTGTTTGTCTTGGTGACAGCGGACAAATGGGGATATGTAAAGAAGTCAATAAAGCAAGATTGGGCAATATGCAGCCCCCACTGGCACATCCTCCATTTTTTTAAAGTAAGTAAAGATGACAATAGAGGCTACAGGGGCGATAAAGTGCCAGAAGGGCTGAATCTTGCTTATATACGAGCTACGTTTAACTATGCTCATTTAAATTTAATGCACGCTGTGCTTTGTGGCATCATGGGGCGTGTGGCTATGGAACGTGGGCAGCTACTCAATGTCCTCCCCCTGCAAACTCACACACCCGCATGCATAAACACAGCTCTTGTTGTTATGGATAACTTAATGCAACATTTAGAAAACATACAAACGGAAGATAATACTAGAACACCAGGAGAGGTGCTGCAGATAAAAACAATAGGGACAACAATTTCAAATGACCAAACAGGCATCACTGCTGCCATTAAAAGCCAGAGGGGAAGCCATCAGGGAAGGGATGAGGTAGATCTCTGGGCAGGGAATTCCAAAGCTTGGGCATCACTACCAAAAGGCCCCATTCCTCATCCAGTTGGATGTGACTTTAGGACACCCAGGAGGGCCCCTTTTGATGAGCTTTATATGATGGCTCTGACAGCTGCAGCATCTGAAGCTGTTGCTATATCAAGCTAAGGCAATTTTGACCCACATGAAGTCAAATCTGTTCACTTGTAATCAAGGTTCTCAGAGTGGCTCACAATAAAAGATGATGGATGCATAAAGGATAAAACTCTCATGCAGGCTAATGCAGCATAAAAACCAGAAGTATAAGATAAAACAAATATCATAAAACTCATTTTGCATATACTTTGCTTTTGCTTGCCACCTTGAGCTTGGTGGGAGAAGAACGATAGACCTTCCACATAAATAAACAAATAAATCTACATCCTGTTCCATGCACCTGGCCAAACAACCACACATGTGTGGGTGCAGCCTCCATGTGAACTAGAAACCTAAAACAAGCAAATCCTGGCCCCTTTAGCTAATTGTATTCTTGTATTCCCCCCATTGGGATCTCCATCTGGAACACCAGCCTTGGGGCTGATTTCATCACAGAAGCACCGTCTGTTTCTGGTACGTCAAGGGCACTGCAGGCAGAGGTGCAGGAAATCAACCAAGGCTCCAGCATCATGTCTAGGCCTGATCTAGAACACAAGCCCATCTGTTATGGGGTTCTTGAGCTAGAGAACACCATCACAGGACCTCTGTACCCTTGAAGTCAGAATTTCCTGATGAACTAGCCACCTCCACACCAGGAAGCTGCATCCCCCTGTCAATTTGGTAAAACTCTTGGAAGAATTTGTCAAAATAGGTGGAAAAAGGCTGGGCTGCAAATTAGAGGCCTGTCACTTTAAGACCTTTCATTCTTCAAGGAAGGGGTGGAACCTAGAAGAGACCCTCTGGCCCTGGAGACATGGAAGCAATCAGTCCACTCATCTGGAAGTCTCAGGTCTTAGTCCTGGCCTAGGCTGTCCAACTGTGCCCCCATGGACTTCTTCTTGTAGAACCAAGACAGGGCCTGGCCGACCTCTGCTATGTGCTACCACAGAGCAAGCGACATGGTTGAGAGTGCAAGGGGGGGCTCAGGCAATCTAGGTTTGAGTCCCCGCTCAGCCATGGAGCCAACTGGGTGACTTTGGGCCAGTCACTGCCTCTCAGCCCAGCCTACCTCACAGGGTTGTTGTTGTGGGGATACAATTGAGAACAGCAGGAGAGAATAATGTAAACCACCCTGAGTTCTTTAAAAGAAAAAGGTGGGATATAAATCTAACAAACAAACAAACAATGAGCCTTGCTGTTGACTCCTCCTCTCAGTGCATTCATTGAAATCAATGTGTAAAACAGAGTCTCTTTAATGGGAAATTAGTGTGTCTAAAAGGCACACTTATGTTCAGCTCTTTTGTTCCAAATTGACCTGGGGCGAGGTCATTGCTCTAAAGACCTTTGGATAATCACAGCTTAATTCATTACCCAGGGAGAGGGCATCTGAGAGTATGACCTACTCAGCTGAACTGGGTGGTGCTCATTTAGAATTGGTCAGTATTGTCAACTGTTCTTTAGTTTCTGTGCCTTAACCGCTTAGTCTGGGTGTCTGTGACATAGAATCTTCAGTCACCCGGTTAGCTTTGCTGCTGGTGGCTTTCTCTTTGCTACCCAGATTTTATGCCTGGCTCCAGGCCTGGCTCCCAAGCCAAATTTCTGAAATACCATTCTTGGCCCAGATTTGCAACTACAGATAGCCAAGCCGTATTTGCTTCTTTCATT